CATTCAACTTCAAAAGTTTTAGAAAAATTAGGCAAAGCTAGAACGATTGCATTAGTCAAATCATGTTTCAATTATCAAAAGCTTTTTTTTATGAATTACCCCATTCAAACTTTACATTCTTTTTTACCAACTCATTAAGATGGGCTGCTTTTGTTGAAAAATCTTTAACAAACCTTCGATAAAAACTAGCAAGCCCATGGAAAGATCTTACCTCAGTCACACTTGTTGGAATTGGCCAGTTAAGAATAGCCTCAATATTTGCTTCATCAACTCTCAAACCATTAGCACTTGCCACATAGCCAAGGAAAATTACTTTTTTCACACAAAAAGTACATTTCTTCAAATTAGCATACAACTTCTCTTCATGCAAAGTAGCAAGAACAAACTTAAGATGCTCAATATGATCACTCATATTCTTGCTATAAATCAAAATATCATTAAAATAAACAACCACATATTTTCCAATGAAACGCCTCAAAACAGATTCATCAATCTCATGAAAGTGCTGGGGGCATTAGTTAAACCAAAGAGCATAACAAGCCACTCATAAAGACCAAATTTTGTTTTAAAGGTTGTCTTCCATTCATCACCTTCTTTTAATCTAATTTGATGATATCCAGATTTTAAATCAATCTTTGTAAAAATGCATACACCATGTAACTCATCAAGCATATCATCTAATCTAGGAATTGAATGACGATATTTAATGGTGATTTTATTAACAGCCCTACAGTCAATGCACATGCACCATGTACCATCTTTTTTTGGAACTAAAATCACAGGAATAGCACAAGAACTTAGAGACTCACGGATTTGTCCTTTAAATAACAATTCATCAACTTGCCTTTGGAGTTCTTTTGTTTCTTCCGAATTTGCTTGATATGCTGAACGGTTTGGAATAGTTGCACCGGGCTGGAAATCAATTTGATGCTCAATACCTCGAATTGGAGGTAATCCATCAGGCACTTCCTCAGATAGCACATCTGTAAAATCATTCAAAAAACCAACAATTTCTAAAGGCAAATTGTTAGGTAACTCATTAGTAACCAAATAAGTTTCATCATACAAAAGCATAATCACTGGTTTGTGAGAATTCATGACCCTATCTACATCTCTCATGCTAGCAAAGAAAACACCTCTTTTTTCACTTGCTTTTGGCTTTTTCTCAACACACTCCTTAGGCTTTTTCAACTCACTTTCATATTCAAGCTTTTTTCTCTCATTCTCATGTGATCTTTATGTACTTACTGAGGTGTCAAAGGT